AGGAAGTTCCATACTTTTATGCTTCCGAATACGCTTCATAGGGTTTGTTGAAGAAATAACAGGATCAGAAGTATCTAAGGCTCTGTTGAAAACATCCATGAAATTATTAACACGACTATGCTTCCGTGCGTTATGCAGTCTATCTGCTTTATACATTTTTTTGCGTGCTTCCAACTCTTCTTCTCCGAAACAGCCAACGGGAAGTATTGTATTTTCCATAATTTGCCTTGAGTGGACAATAATTTTGTGAGCAGTTGCCGTCATTGGCAACCATGGATAAAAATCCACAGTTTGTTCCCCAGTTTTAAAACAAAATTGTTCAAATTTCTCCAAATCAATCGGCAGTTGACAAGACAAGAAAATGAATATAACTCTTAGGTTCCGAATTTGCAGCCAATTTGCAAACTTCTTCTCAAAATATTTTTTTTTTCTCTTGCATATCTTCCATTTACCATTTATATTTAGGCAAAATAAACTGCTATTCTTTTTCAAATAGTTTTTGTGTTTTACAACATCAATATTTCTACTTATTTTGCTCGAAATAAAATCAAGAATTGATCTTTCTTGGTTTGAGTTCTCCGTCTTCGTACGCCATACTTCAAAAAGCTCCGCGTTCGAAAACTCGAAGACACCTGACAAAAAACGAAATTACGCAGATTGTGCGCAATTTTGCACATTGAGACAAATTTCTACGACATTAAACTTACACTGTTGCAACGATATGTTCTTTTTGTAAGTCTAATTAATTTTTTTTTTTCAAAAAATTACCTTTTAGACCTGTTTTAAAATTGACTAAATATTATTAAGGCACATAGCAAAATATTAGTACACACAACATTTAATACAAGCCAGTATGATTGTTTTCCATCATAAATTGAATTAATAACTTGTTTAAATTTTAAGTATCGCACTTTCAAAGTAGCTAACCAAAAACTGCCCCTTCTCAAACACGTGCCTTTGGGCTGCAACAGCTGACTTTAACAGTGCAAAGCTTTAAAAGCGCACTGTTTATTAATATTTTTGGTATGGAGTCATATGGAGCCATATGTTTTTAATATGTTTACATAAAAAAAAAAACAAATATTTAAACTTTGATAAAATGCCGTCATTGGCAACCATGGATAAAAATCCACAGTTTGTTCCCCAGTTTTAAAACAAAATTGTTCAAATTTCTCCAAATCAATCGGCAGTTGACAAGACAAGAAAATGAATATAACTCTTAGGTTCCGAATTTGCAGCATGAAATCGGGCAAATTCCCCATAGTGCAGTGGCGGGAAAACTCTCATTTTACATAGCACGCGTGTATAGGGTGTAAAATTCTGCCGCAGCGCTGCCGGTGAACTCTCAAAATTTTTTAAAAGCTCTCTCATTTGCTCTCATTTGACTCATTTGACAGGTAAAACTTAATAATCAAAATGTTTCCACTGAAAAAAATTTTCTCAGAAATTGGGTTGAACATAGTTTTCTCCATAGAAAATATAGATGGAGAAGCGTAGTTTTTCATTTGTTTAAGAACTGTTTCTAGAAAATCTTTCTTTAAAAGAAGTGCCCATTCCAACTTCTGAATTAACGAAAAATGAAATAAAAATCTTCGTTTTTTTCGCTCAGTGAATTCTCTGCTCTCATTATTTTTCTCTGCTACGTATACACTAAAATTTTAAAAATGTGTGCGTTTTGCCCCCCACTTCACTATAGGAAATTTGACCACTTTTTCTGGCCAAAAACCATTTTTTGAAAGTTAAAGGATTTAAATAATTTTAATTGCATATCATTCACAATAGATACATTTTTGATGTTGCATACCAGAAATTTTCATAGATGGCGCCACTGCGAAGAAATCAGCTGTAAAAAACAGCTGTTGATGTTAAAATTTAAATGAGCTAAGAATTTGCGATTTTTTGGTGTGATTTTAAAAACGCGAATACTGAAAATGTTATGGACAAAATCAAAAGGTTTGAAATGAATACTTTTTAATGTGGTTTGTATTATGTTTTTGTGTATGTAAAGTGTCCAAAAAACTGGTGTTGTTTTTTTAATAAAGTGAAAATGTAAGTAGCCTAGCAAAAGAAATTTTTAGAAATAAATCACATTTTTAAAAAGAGATTTAAACTAAGTCAAATCGTGTCAAACATTGTAATTTAGTCCATGTTGTAGATTGTTTAATTTTCTTCATACGAGTGAAATATGAACATGCGCTTCTATGCGCTTTCGAAGAAATACATAATTTAAGGAGGCAACCTCAAAACCATGAATGTGAATCTGTTAGCTGTGAGACTAGTGGAAAACCGATTTAAAATTACAAAAATAAAAGATATTGAATTAAAAAAACTACACCTACTTTTCCAAAAGAAAAGTGGCTTTATAAAACACTAAAAAAGAACCAAATTGAAATATCTTGCTTAGTTCTACAGTTAGCATGTTATTTTTAAATAGGGCACCCACAATTTTTTCAAATCTGAGTTCTTTTGACCATATAAACTTAAATCAAAAATCAAAAACTAAATATCTTGCTTAGTTTTTGAGTTAGAATGTGTTTCTTAAAAAGTTGGCGGTGACACGCCCACATTTTTTTTAAATCTTAAATCTTTTGACCATGTGAACTCAAATCAAAAATTATAACTTAAATATCTTGTTTCGTTCTTGAGATATTATTTTTGGCCAGAAAAAGTGATCATATTTCCTATAGTGCAAAATATGAACTCTCTAACTCAGCTCTCAAACATGAGAGCTAATTTTGGCAAAATAATACGACATACTAAATTTCGTAAGGATCGGCCGACTATATCCTATAGCTGCCATATAACTTAACGATCGGAAATGTTATTTGGTAAAAATACCAACTTTTGTATTTTCGAAGATAGAAGCTTGGTCTTTTTTTTAGATTTTGTATCGTAATAGATTGGTTATATTATGATATTCTTATAATCTTCGGCCAACTACATCAGATTTTTGTCATATCCGGTTTTAGCTGCAAGGGAATATCAACTTCGACTCCGCCCGAAGTTAGCTTTCCTCTCTTGCTTATGAATGCTTTTATTGGCCGATCCTTATGAAATTTGGTACGTCGCATTATCTTGACAAAAATATAATACTAGTGCATATAACCCGTTCAACTCTAAAAACATAAACGTTATGGCATTTTCGATCAATCAGATATACATATGGCAGCTATACGGATAGCTATATATGGATATAGTCCGCGGATCTCGGCCATTCCGACTTAAATACTGCGTGCAAAGGAAAGAAGGGTGTGGTAGCTTTAAAGTCGATAGCTTTAAAACTGAGAGCCTAGTTCGCATAGAAAGAGACATACGGACAGACAGACGGACGGACGGACCGACATGATTATATCAAGTGTATAAAAATATTTTGGAGACTCCAGTGTAGTGATTAGTGAATTAGTGATTAGTAGCTCAAATTAAGTGAATTAAATCATTTCACATTTACCAAAAATTGTCCAAAACTGATAGACTTTTGGAAAATGTTTTGATAAAAATTATATATTTAGAGCAGTGGGGGCAAAACGCACACATGTTTAAAACTTGAGTTTAGCTCCAAAAAACAATGAGAGCAGAGCATTCACTGAGCGAAAAAACGTAGTGTTTATTTAATTTTTCGTTTATTCAAAAGTAGGTATAATGCCCATTCGTTGCGAAAATAGTGTATTTTATTTTAAAGAAAAATTTTCTATCAACAGTTCTTAAACAAATATATTTGCCTATAGAAAAAACTCGTTCCAACCCAATTTCTTGAAAAAAAAATTTTCTTACAGGAAACACTTTTTTTTAAGTTTTGGCCGGCAAATGAGGCAAACTGGGAGTTTCTAAAAAAAGTTTACCGTGGACCGAAAGCGCTGCGGCAGAATTTCCGACCCTATACACGCGTGATTTGACACATGACTCATTCAAATCAGACGCGCACTGAAAATTGCTTATTCTGCGGTATGCATAGTGTGTTTTAGCGTATGCTAAGACTTGCGGTGACACGGGTGACAATGGACTGTTGTCCACAGTGATACAAGAAATTCGAAAAATATGCGCAAATCTGAAATTTAAAATGAGTCTTATATTTTAATTTCAAAATTTTAATTTTTTGCCTATATTGGGTTCAAATCTTTCGGTGTCTATTACCGAATTACTATGTTTCCGTGAGAAACTCTATGACCCCAATACAATGAGAACCTATACAAAGAATAAATCAAACTTGACGCACCCGAGACGTTTGGTTACCTTATGGTAACTTAGGTAACTTAGGAAACTCTTAGGTAACTTTTTTGGGTGTTTCGTTTAGTTGGTTTCGAGGTATCACTTAAAGTGAAACCACACAGGAATCATAAAAAGTTATTGATTTTTAGTGACCTATTCAAACGCCGAATTTTTCCCAGATCCAGATCTAAGGGTAACCAGAAATATAATTATTCGCTACAAGAAGATAACTAACCACATATGTATATTTTTCGCGGTGAAGATTATTTTGAAGACTTTTGCACTCTACGAGGACCAAATATAAAAACGTTGTAATATAAAAATCAAGAGCAATGTGTGATATTTCAAAGGCTTGGAACCCTTTTTGAAGATATTAAGCTAGGTGTGGTCTTGAAACTCTTTGTGGCAACAACTTGGAAACGTATAAAAAAGTAAAATTGTATAAAAAACAAGAGCAGAAGTTTATATATAAACCTATAAACCTCAATCCTATATCCGATTAGAAAATTTCATTAAAATAATTTTTTATCGTTGTTGTGCCCAAAACTTTCACCGTATGGGTCAATAATTAAGTTGTCTACCTCTTTATTAAAAGGTCATGGATTCGATTGGCAGCAGAAGTATCTGGTTTAGAGTTACATTTTGTTAACTTAGATTGTTTCAAAACATTTTGAACCTATTTTATTTTCTCAGGTGGGATTTATTTCATTTGATTTAAATCTCTTCGATAACCACTATTTACCAATAACTAAATTGTGAATTTGAACTGAATATCGAATATCAAATTTACTTACCCGTGTGCAAGCGCGTGTGCTGTTGAACATGTGACAGTTGCTTAAATCTACGATCACAATAGGAGCATTTATATGGTTTCTCGCCAGTATGTACCCGAATGTGTTGGACGAGCTGGTGATTACTTGAAAAACTCTTCATGCATTGCTGACACTGGTGTGGCTTAGTGTCTGTGCATGGCGTGACATTACCACCAACTAAGTTAGACGCTACAGTAACGCTTTGGGTCCCTAGGCCAACCCGGGGAATCTGCTGCTGAATTTGCTGCATGGCGCTTTTGTGCATAAAAAGCTGTAATTTTAAAAAATACGTTAAAAATATATGCGATTTTATTTTTGCTGTTTCCTTTTTACTTTCCAGTCTCAAAAACCCATTTATTTTTTAATGACACACTGGCGTAGCTGGTATATTTGCTGGATGTATTTATAGATTTTTAGATCTTTACCTGTTACTTTCCCAGTATAGTTTTTGTAAAGCTTTTTTAAGTTTAATTGAAAAGTGTGTACCTTTGCATGTTCTACAAGCGCAAAACATGTCAGCAAAATTAAAACTTTTTATAAAAATAAAAAAATAAAGAATCAAATATTTTTATTAAAAAAAATTCTTTGAGGCATTTTAAATGCTTTCAATGTTTTTTTAATGATAAATTTCGAGGTAATACTTTTTTTTGCTGATTATTAATAAGTTTTATTAAGGGCAAAAAATAGGCAGCGTCAGAAATATACTTAAAAATAATGATAATCATACATAAATAATTCAATGTTTATAGAATTAAATAAAAAAATTATATCAATAGCTTATACAATAATAGACTGACTTGACAGATAATAGGCAAGGCTTTTATATATAGCGCAGGATATATCGACAAGACTATTCTTCCTTAGGTAATTGTAAAGCACACAAATATTTTATGAACTATAGAAAACTGTAGTACACTAAACTATAATATAAATATGTATTTATATTTATACTATAGAAAATAAGACCACTTTTTCTGGCCAAATTCAAACTTTTAGAAACAAAGCAAAATATTTCAGTTCGGTTTTTGTTATAATTTTTTTTAAAGCCTTACAGCCTTATTCTAATTAAATGTCGCTTTTATTTTACTTTTTTATTTTCACTTTCACCACACACGCTTGTTTTGGGTGACCTAAAAATGCCAACAATCTTGCCAGTGTGTTCCAAGTGAAGTAATGAAACTTCACTTTTCTGTGAAAAGTTCGATTGATCCATAAGAAGTGTTGAATTTCTTACTAAACTGCATTTAAAAATAAAATACTTTCTTAATTGGTAAAATTGAGATTTTTTTAAAGCACTAAGGAAATGACTTGTCTTTTATACTGTAGGCTTAATAATATCAGAGTGATTAATCCATTAGTTTTAATAAAACTTATACCCCAAGCTATTTTGTCTTAGCTAAACAACTCTTAAAAACAACCAAAAAAATAAAAAAAAATTAAAAAAATTTTACATATAAATGAAGAGTTTAAAATTATGTGCATATATACTTTAGTTATTTTATATTAGCCAAAATTTAAAAAAACGATCTTATTTGTGTCTTGTATATTATTATTTTTATCGAATTCTTACAAAGTCCATATAACAGTGAAAATTAAAAATTTTTTTTGTTCAATTAAGCAGAAAAATACGAGTTGTCTTTAAAATGGGTTAGTTTACTTTAAAAGCCATAAAGAATCGATATAGGACAAAGATTTCCAACAGTCTTACAGGTAACAGATTCACATTAGCTTTTAATCGAGATTGCCTCGTAATATATGAATTTCTTCAAAAATATAAGTATATAAGTGTAAGTGTAAGTGTATAAGTATATCGTGCAAACGATCAGAAATTACCAAAAATTACCCAACGATCAGAAATTACCAATGACCCAACTATGTTTTTGAGAATAGAAGGTTGGAATTCCAAAGAATTCTATTTTTATACAATTGATTCGGCCTACCGAATTTCATAAAGTTAAAGCATTTTCGATCAATTAGTTATATGGAAGCTATAGGATATAGTCGGCCGATACCGGCCGTTCCGACATATATACTGCGTGCAAAGAAAGAAGGGTGTGTGCAAAGTTTCAAGGCGATAGCTTTAAACCTGAGAGACCAGTTTGCGTAGACTCATATCAACTCAGGAGGTGATCCTGATCAAGAATATATATGTAAATATACTTTATAGGGTCGGAGGTGTCTCCTTCACTGCGTTGTACACTTTTGACCAAAATTATAATCCCTATGCAAGGGTATAAAAATTGTTGATTTTAACAAACGGCTTGAGTTGTTTTGGTGCAAACCTGCCCTGATTTCAATGAATCAATCAATGGATTGTTGTATTTATGATTGTATTTATTTATTTTTAATTTATTTATTATCTTCTATTACTATGTGAACATCCGAATTATTCTTAAAGGTATTTTAGAACCCTATAAACTTAAACTTTTCTGTTTGGCGTAGAGCTGTGTATGTACTTACATACGCATGTATGTATGTACATAGTCTACGATAGGAAAACAGTTGCCGCATATTATTACCCTTACGTTGGTTGGTCAGTCAGAAATATTCGACTTCCACCAAAGCAATGCCTCAAATCGTTTTGCGACTGACACTCGGTTTCTGGCCGAGGTAGAGTGCACTTTTTATTCACTTGTAGCTTTTAGTCCACAAAGCCCATTTTTGTTAGTATATGGGCTGTAGGGGCGATATCTACCACTGTTTACGTATTTTCCCCTTTCAATCCTTGTAAAGTACAAAGGCGCACAAGCATTACTGGCAGCTGTGCCCAGAAATGGCCAACAGCACTTGCGAATCAAAATCAATAGAAATATCAACAATAATAAGGAAGTCTTAAACAGCAAGTGGGATTTTTTTGTTTACTTTAATAACAGGAAAAGTATGGAAAAAATGTTTAAAGAAATATATATTTACAAAGTTATGTTAAGTTATGTACGTATTAAAAGCTATCAGCAGATACCAAGGTGCCTTATTGCGTTATATATGTATCATTTTTGAAACTTGATACCTATGGTATCCACTCAAATTTAATTTGTGTCAAAAATTTTCCACGTCCATTCACGCATATATAAATTAATTAAGTTTTTGAAAAATTGTGAAAAAAAAAATTCCAAACTATTCTAATACGTAATCTATACCTACAAATCAAAATTTAGCCAAATCAACACTTTTAGTGGTGTAATTGTGTTTTTATTCTGCATTTCTTTCTGCTATATTTTTGCAGTTGTTATTTGCAAAGCACAAAAATATTATAATAATTACAATATTATGTATATTACACAATATTTATAATGGATTTTTGATTTGGTATACAGGAAGTTAAAGGCGTGGCTTCGTTATGTTTTTTTTATTGTAACCTCGTCATGTTTTTGACGAAATAAATACAACAATGCCTTTTTAACATGCATATAGTATAAAACTTCTAGAAGATAAAATTTCGTTTTGACCTGTTTTACAATCTTGGATTGGAATCAACAGCCGTGCGAAAACAAGTAAATCCGTCCAAAGGCTTTTAGCTGTTGTCCTGTGTAATCAATTTTTTCAGACTCCAGTTATACTATATAATTTGGCTCAAAAGTGTGCATCGAAGTAAAGGAGACATCTCCAACTCTATAACAACACTATATCCCATAGCTGTCATATAACTGTGCCATATGTAATATAACGATCCAAAATGTGCCAAGTTTAATATTTTGGAAGAAAGAAGCTTGGGACTTTTTTTAATTGTGTATTTTAAAAAATGGTGTTTCTCATGAAATGATCTTAAGGATCAACCAAGTTTGTCCGCTATTTGCGATATATATCCGATCCCAAATGAAAGGGTATATCAACTTCCGCTCCACCCGAATTCCGCTTTCCCTTCTTGTTGGCAGCCGATTTGACTAAATTTTCAGATATAAATTAACTGTGGCATCTGAGGCATACTTTTTTGGCATCAAGAGTTTTTCAAAATAAATTTTTGTACTGGCGCTACAAAAAAATGCAATTTGTGAGGGCATGGGCTTGGGCAAAATTTAAAACTAACTCGAACTGCAAGGGTATTATAGGAGTCTCCATGCCAAATCCTATAGCTCCATCTTTTATAGACTATTACGGACACGTCTATATCGACTATGCCGTTAATGCTGATCACGACTATATTAACTATATAGGGTGGGAGATTATTCCTTCTCTATATTCACACAAATACAATACAAGTTCCGTGAAGAATACTACAAGAAAATTCTTAACGAATTTAGTGATTAAAAATTTGTTTCCCATTTTACGTCTTTTTTAAAAATTATAAAATTTATCTGGACGCTTGGACTATGTCATTCTTAGAGAAAAAATTAGACGGGTTTTTAAGGGAAGGCTTAAAATATATTAGGAATGAGATAGCGACTGAGGTTTGGCTCTACTACGGTGGAAAAAATAAGAAAAATTAAGGTCTCCTTAAGAATTGTTAATATTTTTTCTTTTGATTTTCTCCCCCTTTTTTATGATTTATATGATTCAATAGGTTTCAACATGTATTTGTCCGTGAATAAATTTTTTTTCTTCTGGGACGAACATAACCAATATAAAAAGAGGGATGGACTTGGGTTCAGGGTCATACATGTATACAAGTTAGGGGTAACTGGAGGCGGCAACCAACGTGTGGAAGAGAAAAAAAATGGCAGAAAAAAACGTGCTTTAGTTTCAGTTTACCAATACAATAAAACGAAATAAATTTTCGTTTTTACATGATAATTTCCACCAGTTATCTTTTTACATGAAAACTTAAAACAGATATATATATAAATATATATATATTTTTAAAGGCACAAATTTTTTAAGTTCTAAAAAAAGTTTTTATAAAAATATATAAAAGTATATTTATACAAAAAAAGTTTAAGTGAAACTGAATAAAAGTTAAATAGTTTAAATAATTGTTAATAGTTCAAACCAAAACTGACAAAAATAACTTCGAGTTTGTTTTAAGACTAAAAAGTCTTATTGTACTTACAATGGTACATGTTAAGAGCAAAAATATTCAACATTTTGGTTTTTGTACCATTTAACCGTAAGCGAAATATTTACTGATTGTTTTTTTTTATACCGTACAGATTTTAATAAATATTTTCTCAATCTATTATTGCATATCTTCTATTATTAGATTTAAAATTAACAAGTTCTTTAATAAAACAAACAAATGAATATATATATAAAAGCAAAAAATATATTTAATTGATTAATATTTTACAATATTAGAAACAAAAACTAAATATATTGAAGGGAAAAAATATGCGAACTTATATGTAAAAAAAAACTAAAATATAAGTAATACTATATAACTAAAAATATATTGTTAAGCTTTTCGTAACGGTAGTAATATATGCATACAATCATATGTTTGTATTTTATTTATGTATATATAAAATATATCATATATACAAATAATATATACGTATTACATGTGGAGTGCAGTGTTCGGTGTAGTGTTGCTGTATATATGTATGAGTCTTTGACGAGGAAGAGTACTATACACAACGGAACAGATGCCAACTCACTCGTTGCAGGGTTGACCAACATTCTTCAAGGGTGCGTTCGCTGATCGCGGCTGCGCTGCTTGACCGTGATAGTTGAAGCTGAAAAAAATGTTACATTGTAAACAAAAAAAGAACGCTTTTGTTCGGCGGAGCCGATACTTATATATGTATATTGGCTCTTAGTTTTAAAAAAGCTAGTATATTACCCTATCATTCTTCAATTTTCTTGATCGAATTAATTGAAAAAAAACGTTTCTACTGACTAAAGGACATAATGCGATCGCGGACTGCAGCTAAATTTTAAGCAGAGTGTGGAACAAAAAAATAAAGGTTGTTTATTATAGATTATAGAACATAGAGTTCTTCTAAACAGACAGACTGTTATGATCATGAAAAAATTCTTATTAAAATTATATTTATATTATAAATAAGCATTTAAGAAATAAATATATTAATAACAAAAAATTTTTACATCTGATATCAATGTAAATATACATAATTAAATATATTTCAAAGTAATTCAAAAAAGCGTAAAGCTATTATAAGTTCTTAACATTAATGTGCAAAAATTTTGTAAGCACTAAAATTACTCAAATTTTAGAAAATACAATTAACAAATTACATCGTGCTCCTCTTCACAGTCTAGTGTCATTGTAAAGAAAAACGATATAGCCGATATCAAAACAACAAATTGGAACTGGACGAATACAACACAATTCAGTTATTTATTTAATTCTTTTAACTGGCGGTCAACTTGTTTTTAAAGTTTATTTTTACACGTATCCGAATCATAGTTTCGCGAACATTTGCGGCCAACATAAAAATTGTAAATTTAATGTATCGTTTTCTTGCTTTATCCAAGGAGTTCAAACTGAAACGGAAATAGATGACACCTTTTAACAAATGTAAATAGGCCGACTGAGGAAAATGTCAACATTTAAAATGAATCATGCTATCGCGAATTTTGCGGTCAGGGTTACATAAAAATATATGCACACAACTATATTTAAACATATATGTTAGCTTTTTTTTATTTTAGTTTCATTTAAATTTATTGAAGTCTTTAAAAACGCGGAGGAAATCGGAGCGCACAACCTTACGGGCTGCTGTCCTTTGAACTTCTGTCGTCGTTGGACTTGTGCGCTATCGTCCACAAACGGGACACTGCGTCCGGGCTGGGGGTTCCTTCTTACACTATCCGGTTATTTCGTCATCGTTGCTTCTTCCACTGCCTCTTTCGCAGTTGAGCTTTACGTGTTTCTATATGCTATTATTGTTTTCTTAAAGAAAATAAGCCCGAATGGAGTTATAAAAAGATAGATAGAAAGAAAAAGCTCCCAAATAATGGTATCTTTCGCTCTTGTCTCTCCTTTTCGAATGCATGAAAATGAGGGAGGCCTTTCAAGGCAAGCTGAAGCAACGGCAGCCGCTGGTAGAGAAATGTCTAGAGTAAAATCCTCGGTCTGTCTTGCGTCTTATGTCTGTGTAAGTTCTAAATGGAACCCACAAACCCCGCTCCATCCCATTCCATTGCCTTTTGTATATGAGCCAGAAATTCAACACACAAACATGTTTAAAAGAAGAGTTCAAAAATATTAATAAGAAGAAAATATAAGGGATACTTAAAGAAAAACCATAGTAAAAAAGCTAAGCAGAAGATTCAACTCCTTGCTTTATTGCTATCCCTTTCTTTTATCTCTCATTTATTATCTATCACATTATCTGGATATTTTTTCTCTGTCTATCTTATTAGATGTTTCTTTCACTCTCTCCAAGTATCACACAGATTTCCCCTGGCTTGTTTTAGCACTGTTGTTCATTTTTGGTATAGTTCAAAAGAAGTACTAAGGAGAGAATAGTCGTGCGATATTGAGACCAACTTTTAGGTGATTAGCGCCCGCTCGCTCACAAGCATCTGGCAAATTTCCCTTATATGCCTGGGGTTGATAATTTCCTTTATTGGCAGGGGTTGGAAATTTCCCTAATTGGGAGGGGTTGAAATACTCTTAAAAAAAAACAAAGACGAAGTTTTAGAACAACACAACAGAAGTTGACTCTCTTTCAGTGAGTTATAGCAATAAAATAGGAACAGTGTACTGACAAAAAACCCGATATCCATACATATCGCTTTAAAAGTATCGTTTAGAAATGGTGAGGTGAAAATTTTCAAGGACATAAGAGATGTATTATATGCATATTAAATCAAAATTGGAAATAGATACAAAGGCATTCTATTATTCACTTTGCTGTTCTGTTCTACTGTCACTTTTAAACAAAATTAGGGTATATAAATACTTATATTTTTCCTACATAGAATATTATTATTACATCCCAAGAAAGAAAGAAATATATTTCATAGTTGGGTATGTATTTATATACAATCCTTATGCTTTGTATTCCTTTTATTTAAGTATACTTATAAGGGACCTATTAGAGACAGATAAGGTATATTTTGATTAAAAAAAAAAAATCATTTATTATTAAGCTTTATTTTCTTAAAAATCTGCTACATTTAAAAAACAAAAAAAAAAAATGTTTGTTTAAAAAATATATTTATCAAAAATAAACTTTAATACCTGAATTTCGTTGGCCATTTTTTCGTTATTGTACTTAATCTCGGGCGTTGAGCTGCCGCCAGACGTCGAAACTGAATGCTGGGGCGATTGGTGGCCTTGTGACAGTGTTTTGTTAAGCCCCCCAACTCCTGTCCCGGAATGTGTTCCCAGTTCCAAGACTCTTCCATGTACCGGACTTAAAGGCTGCCCATGTGGCGGCTGCATGCCTCCAATAGATTCTAACTGAGCTCGAGGATGTGATTGTGACTTGGTGGTGGCGGAACCCATGGTAATGGGAACATCTTCCGTTGCATCGGAGGCTGCTTCACAACCAACGTTAAAAAATTCTGCCCCATATGCCTGCTGCAGCTGACTCTGAGTATTTTGCTGGTGACTACTGTCAAGTGAATGATGGATAGAAGGTTTAAAATCCAAATCCTGCTTAGACTTGATCACTCCTAAGGTGTTTCTTGTTGTGCTGGGTAGTATAGGTATCGTTTGGTCTCCAAGTGTGGTAATGTTTTTTTGAAAGGTTGTAGATTTAAGGTGTGCCGCAGCAGCAGCAGCTGCCGCAGCATTAAGCAGTAGTTGATGATTGCTTAGCTGCGCCGATGGATGTTGGGTCGGTTGTTGCGATCCTCTTAAAGATTCATTGTTCAATATCTGTGAACCCACTTGCAGCCCTGAACTGCAGTTAGATTCCTGATTCCCAGCCGATACTGGAAGTGGTGGCGGATTGGTTGCGATGGTACTGCCAACAGAAGATGCACTCGGCACTTCCTTGTCTCCTACATGTACATCCGATAGTTTTTGAAGGATGTGCGGCTGATTCGATGGTATATTATATTGTTGAAGCGCAGTTTGAATTCCGAATGGTGCGCGAGCTTGTTGCCAGAAGTCCGCTGCATCCATTTTATTAATCTTAGCTAGTCTGATTGGGAAACCTTATATATCTATCTTTAAACTGATATGCCTTTCCACAGATTTTTCATAAAACCTTATGATTTTAGTCTTTCACCCAGTTTTGAGTTTCCCTTTGAAGTAATTTATTGTATGAAAAAAGCATCTGTTTCATCATGTAACACTGCCTGTAAAAAAAGATTTTGTCGTTAAAATAAAAAAATATTTTTGTTACTTTTATTGAATTTATTTTTATAGAAGCATAAGGTCTAGCAAGTGGCGGAGCTTATATAGACTCTAAGTCAAAAGTCTTAACACATAATGTACATGTATGTATGTGTATAAGGCACATAATCTCAGCTAAGAAGAAATATCTTTCATTTTTACAACATATATTATTTAACCTGCAGAGGGATTTCCGACCGTAACAGGGGATTATATTTTAATATGGAAATGACTCAACTTTTGTGTTTTAGTAGAAGGAAGCTACGGATTTTTTCATAATTATTAATAATTAATAAAAATTAATAAAATTCCAAAAAGGTCTTAAAGTAAAAACACCTAGGAGCAGAAATGTTTTTACTGATTTTTTCAAGGTCAAGAAACAAACTTTCAATATGTTCGTCAAACGTGCATGATTTTGTATCGCAGAGAAGAATTTTCACTATCAAAAATAACATTATTAAAAGAAAACCCCTTTGTTAACGAACAGATATTTTTTTCAGAAAAAAAAAAAATTAATTTTTGAAATGTTACCTAATTTCTAAAATAATATTTATACAATGTTTACAAAATGAATATTTTTTTTTAACTTTTTAGAATTTAAAATTGACGATATAAACATGTTTTTTGTTGTTGTATACGTAATGTGTACAGTGGTGCTTAAGCCAGACTGTTTTCTTAACAAATTTTTTGAAAATATTTATTTCGACGTGAAATTTTTTACATTTTGCGGATCACAGTAAAAAATTACAAGTAGGAATTCGGGGGATCCAAAAAAATTGACAAAATTTCAAAAAGGAGCATTGCGATCTGCTCATGTACTTAAGCCACCTTAAGCTTTAATCGTCAAACTTGTGATTTTTCCGGGAAAGTTGTGCTAGTTATTTTCTAAACTAAAATATTGAATACTAAATACGTTTCCCAAAACAATTTGATCGCTATGGCTAAAAAAAAACAGGGACAGAGATTAACAATTTATCTGAAGAATATGACGATAATTTGCCACTTGCCTGGATATTTTAACAGGACAACGACCCGAAACACACCAGCAAGATAGTCAAGTCGTGGCTTAGCCAAGAGACAATCAATGTTTTGCAATGGCTACCGCAGAGCCCCGACTTGAACCCTATAGAGAACTTGTGGGGAATCCTTAAACAAGTCGTTGGCCAAAAAAACCAGCAAATAAAAACGATTTGTAGCAAATTTTGCAAGAAGAGTGGAAGAAAATCACACCTCAACAGTTCGCACGTCTTGTGGGTTCAGTGTCAAAGCGTTGCTCCGCTGTTCTTAAGCAGAAAGGTAATCCCACTCAATATTAAGATAAAATTTATTAAAATTATAAGGAAGTTTTTCGTTGAATATATATTTTTATAACTTGGTTATTCTTATATTAGAACACTCATATATAGAACTTATGTGACACAAATAACACAGTGCGACAAAAAAAAAATTTTTGGAGGAACTTTTGAAGAGACCTAGTAGAAATTGTTTATTAGGTCGAATATAGTATAAACCAGTATTTGAAATTTTTCTAACACCCTCAAAATCTTGATTTATTTAGAAAAAACCGTTTTTCGGGACTTTTTTGCTCTTAAAAATTCCTAAGCGCGTAATTTTAAACCGATTTTAAAATTGTTAACGTTTTTTAATAGTTGAATGTTGTAGCTTTTGAAAAAAATAGATCATTAATTTATTACCACAAAAAGGATAACATTTTTACGCAAGAAACTGACGTTTTTGAATTTTAGTCGTGTTTTTCGGACTTTGACTCCATTTTTTTGGTACAACTTCCAAGAAATGGTATTCAATGTTGTACACATATCAATGTTGTCTCGGTAATTTTGAATAAAACGAGACCAATTTCATAAAGAAATTATAAAAATTGTTGAAGTTATAACGCTTTTCCCAAAACAAGTCAGAGCAATTTTACTAGCGTTCCGGAGTAATAGTGTGCCCTTCCATTTCGCTCATTCCTTTCTTTTACACACTTTTACTCGGGAGCGGAAGAATTGATAGATATCATGCAGTACAAAAACCGGTTATATATCGCAAAAATCGGATATAGTTGGCCGATCATTATGAGAATATCATAAAATAACCAACTTATAACACTACAAAAATTAAAAAGTCCCAAACTTCTATGTTCAAAAAAACCAAAGTTGGTATTTTCACTAAACACCAAATACCATTTCCGATCGTTCAGTTATATGGAAGCTATAGGATATAGTCGGCCGATCTCGTCTGTTCCGACTTATATACTGGGTGGAAAATAAAAGAAGGGTGTGTGCAAAGCTTCAAGTCGATAGCTTTAAAACTGAGAGACTAGTTTGCGTAGAAACAGACAGACGGACAGACTGGCATGCTCATATCAACTCAGGAGGTGATCCTGATCAATAATATATATACTTTATACTATATATACTTTCTCCTTCACTGCGTTGCACACTTTTGGACAAAATTATAATACCCTCTGCAAGGGTATAATTATTACGTGCAAAATAATGTCATTTATTTATTGTTCTATGTTATGTAGGACTTCGTATCCGCCAAAATGAAACTTTAATATTCTTAATGATTTTTCGTCCATTAATTTTATTATATGTTTTATTTTATTTTGTTATTTTATTCTACCTAGAAACATATGCACATATGTACATACATATCCAATCTTAGAATTTAGATATGGAATTTATTTGTTAATTAATCCTGTTTTTCCTTTTTTTAATTATTTAGATCCACTTTTATAAAGGAATTTATAAGTATTTGAATAGTTATATTTGATCATTTATTATTTGTTACATTACTCTTATTTTATAGGACTCTTCACATACTAAATAAAAAGATTTGAACAAAAATTTTCCTGTTGTCATGACCATCAATTTTTAACATTCAAAGACTCTTGAAGCAGATTAAGGTGGATGTCAATAATTTTCTATGCGGCCGCGGATTCTGCCTAAGGCCACAAAAATAGATACGAGACCGGTTAAAAATTTTAGTGGCACGCAGTCTACTATTACAGATAACCTAGCGGAACGCGAGTCATTGAAAAACTAATTGTGCTAACGCTTCTCCCAAGTATAAATATGAACAGAGTTCAGGCACGTCTCGCTTAGAAATAGAACTTGTATACAAAAGTGAAGTCGGCGTGAGCTCGAGACATCGTCCTCGTTGACGACGCAAAGTAAGCCAAACGTCTTCGTTTCTGACCTCACCGCTAAGAACTTCGGCAAAAGGTCTTCGTCAGGTCTTCGTGCCACCAACAGCTACATCTATGCTTCTGTTTTTGCTCTTTCAACATAAACTTACTCTTAGATAACATGGCTCATATGGACTATCAGCAAAATCAGCTGACCATTAAGAAACACATGATCATTTAGTAGGGTTCCTATAAGAATTTATTTATTACAACTGTTTGTAACACTCCTTAAGCAAGCTAAATATATTTTATAGTACACAAAAAGGTAAAATAACTTACCAGTTAAGCAAATAAATAGAATGCGGTTCGTTTGGAGGCTTCAGTATGAAAATTGGCAGCCTTTTGAATATATAGTAAGGGGTTTCTTTGAATTTACACAATATCTTATAATTACACAATATAGTTCAAATGGTTTTGAGAGTCATCTAAACATAAGGCCAGAATAAGGCACACGTTTCGGTCTCGCGACATATTTTCATTTTTAGCCTATTTTTTTTACTTGCAAAGTGTCAGACTTGTCAATTTGAATGATAATTTAGATTTTGATTTTATTCTTTACATTTTTTTAGTCAATCGTACATTTTAGATCACATTTAGTTACCCGAAATAAATATTTATGTTTTCGAAAAAATGTATCACCCTACTATTGCCTTTTTATTTTGGCTGATTTTATATATACAGCCTTGGCTTTCAATTTTGTTTGTAAAATTTACAATTTATAAAAAGTATAATTTTTATTGAATATTCACATGTTTTTAGTTTACTTCCAGTATTCTAAATTGTTTGTTACATGTACAGAAATAAATTTCTTTTCACTGGGGACCCCTTATTATTATGTATATTTCTTAAATAATTCTCGGTACAAAATCTATTTATTATATTTGATATATTTATTTTATTCCAAAAAGAGTATTTTTCTAAAGTCATTTAAAAGTTTTATAGGTTGTTTCTACATATAAAAAAATTTTTTTTTAAGTTTATGAAGGGTAGATAATGATAAACCGACAATAAAAGGTCAAACAAATATATTGATGGATGCTAGCTGTAAGGTATGTGGTATTCAAAACTGTTTGTTCCGGTGTCAGTGTCTTTTATGTAAGTATTCAAAGAATTTATTTTGTTGCTATGTAAAAATGTCCTATAGGGTAATTTATGTATTTTTTTCTACTTCTAAATTTTGTATCTAAATGTACCTTTTTACAATATACTATATTTTTTAGAAGTAGTCTATTTAAATAGACTTTTTGTAAATAAAATCCTCCTAATCATACAATAAATTTAAAGTAATTATATTTTTAATGTCAGCAATTAGATTTATGTTGTTTTAAAATAAAGGTGATTGTTTTTCTCGTGATGACGCAATTTTAAATATTGTTTTGTACTTTTGATTTCAATTTTAATATATGTATATAGTTGTTTATCATATTATTTTTCAAAGTAATTTTTATAAATCCAATGGTGTTTTATCGTTGGTCATTTAGATATTTTAATAAAATTAATTATCGTAGATGTTTTTTGAGGTTTACAGTTGGTGTTATTAAAATTTTAGAATTGTTTTAGAAATGAGAGATTAAGTTGTATCCGTTCTATTGATTTTTAAAATAAATGATGGCATAGTTTATTTTGTTATTTTTGTTAAAAATGATTGCTTTTTAAAACTTTATGGTCTATTGTTTTTTTAAATAATGATGATCTGAAATAAAGAAAAACATTAGTTTTACACTTGGTGGAACATATATATATCATATCACTTATCATTCTCAAACTAAGT